CATCGGGGCGTGTCCGTCGCCGGCGGCAGTTGCCGGGGAGAGGAGGAGGATGGGCGGCGGCGATTTGGGCGGGTGGGCGGTGGATGAGGAGGTGGACGGAGACCATTTTTTTTTAAAACGCACTCAAGCGCAAACGTTCGCGTGATAGGGTGGATGCGCGACCCATCATTCAGCGTCCACATTCCTGCTGCTGCATGTGGCGCAGCCTGTCGATGAACGGCCAGAGGGTTTCCCTTTTTATTTTACCCGTATGTGGTAATGTTGCGTGTGTGTGCCTTTTTTTTCCTCCTTTGAAGCGTTTCTTACAGGAATTTCTGAGTGTCATATGCCTAAATTTACGGCAATTCTTCATGATTGAAATGGCTCATATTTCATCCCCAAATGTGCTTCAGGATCAACTAATGGTTTGTCATGGAGATCGATCATAAGAGGCATTCAATTTTCATCTTGTGTTTTTGAACTTTTTAGAACCATCCGCGTTTTCACTGTTTAACAATATGTATGGAGAACATTCATGGGTTGTGACTACGAAATTTCACTAGTGCAGAACCGGGCCATATCACCGGTTCGTAAGGCCCCCCTTTAGTACCGGTTCTGCATGAACCGCCGCTAAAGGGCCACCACGTGGCACGTGCCAGCGTCGGGGGCAGGGAGCCCTTTAGTACCGGTTGGTAACACCAACAGGTACTAAATTTTTTGGGGGATTTTGGTTTTATTATTTTTTTATTTTAATTTTTTTCCCTTTAATTCTTTTTCGTTTGCTTGTATTTTACGATACTACATATTGTACACGTTATGCATATGTATAAATAGAATTTCTCGTAGAATCGATCATATATATATATATATATATATATATATATATATATATATATATATATATATATATATATATATATATATATATATATATATATATATATACGGTGGCGCTAAACTGCGCGAGAGCGCAAAACGCCTAATCGTACGCGCTGGTCGCTAATGACCCACCCGACGGGCCGCTTGTTCCTCGTCCCTATGGATTAGGAAATGGAAGTAACAAGCAATACAAAAAATAGTAATTGATTAAATTCTTTTACCGTAGTCAGCGCCCCATCTCCGCCCCGCAACACTAGACGCTTGAACCCACCATCTACTAATGACGGTAATCATATCAGCGTACATGGTAATGGAAGTACTAGTACATTACGAGGCATTGCAGCAGTAAATCCATTACGAGGCCGTGCAGCAGTCAGTCCTCTGATCGTAAAATAAGGTGAACACATAGTAGTTGGTTTACTATGTTTTTTTT